TCCCTACCGTGTTTACTCTCAGCTCCTCGTCAGGTTTAGCCAAATGGTGTTCTCCATGTGCTGATGATACTTACACAAAATAAGATTCCCAATCGCTTCCAAATCCTTGTTAAATGAAAAGGTGCTCAAGACACACACTTTTGAGCACCTTTCATTTACTGTTCGTGTTGTAATAAATGTGTGATAAATGGTAAACAGAGAGAATGAAGTGATTCACGTGACCTATTATAGAAGGGAGAGGTAATCTGGGAAAGCTTCCTGGAGGAAGCAGTATTTGAATTAGGTCTTTAAGAATGAGTAGAGGGGGTCTGGAGTTGTGTGTGGCTCAGCAGTAGAGTGGTCATCTAGCTTGTGTGAGGCCCTGGGTTTGATCCTCAGCACCACATCAAAATAAATAAATAAAATAAAGGTATTATGTTCAACTACAACTAAAAAATAAATACTTAAAAAATGAGGGCTGGGGATGTGGCTCAAGCGGTAGCACGCTCGCCTGGCATGCGTGTGGCCCGGGTTTGATCCTCAGCACCACATACAAACAAAGATGTTGTGTCCACTGAAAACTAAAAAAATAAAAATAAAAAAATAAATAAATAAATGAGTAGAAATAGTTAATGTGTGTGTGTGTGTTAAAAAACATACGTATCCATATTTTTTTTGTACTGGGGATTGAACTCAGACGTACTTAACCACGCAGTTACATACATCCCTAGCCCTTTTTATTTTTATTTTGAGACAGGATTTCAATGAGTTGCTTAGGCCCTGCTGAGATTGGCCTCGAATTTGTGATCCTCCTGCTTCAGCCTCCCCAGGCAGTAGGATTACAAGCATGCACCACTGCACCCTGCTCCACAAATACATTTTTTTAAACAATAACTTGCACATTGGTGATTGCCCTTTCAGAGTCCTGTAGCTATGTAGAAACTAAGCCAGCTGCGGGGTCACAAGGAGAAATGCCAAGGGACCCTGCCCACATTCCAGTCGCGGAAGTGATGCCATCTTACTCCTTCCAACCATTCTGGCCGCCATCAGGTGAAAGCTCAGAAAAGCCTGGCAGGAGAAATACCATCACCACAGCACCCTGAGAAATAATAAATGGTTATTTTAAGCCACTTTTAAAAAATAAATGGGTGTTTCCTGAGTGGACAGGGCAGGGTCATTGAGGCTTAAGCAGAATGTGAAGGAAGGAAATGCTTGAAGTATCCGACCCTCGCTGCCCATTGGCAGCTGGGCCACAGGAGCTGGCGGTTCTGGAACACCTGGGGTATATCAGGGTTGTTTGAAGTAGCCTCCGTGTATTGGCTCACAGAATCCTCACAACAACCTTGATGAGGAAATGGAGGCCCAGAGGCAGGTAGTTTGTTGAAGTCCATAGAGCTTCTGCCCATTGTCTCCCATCTAGTCCTGAGAACCAGAAAGAAGGGAATGTCCACCGGCTAATGTGACTTCCTTTCCCAGCTGGAGATGAAGGCTGTGAAGCCTGGCTGTCACAGGAAGGCTCTCATGCCCGTTGGAGTCCCCCGGCCTGCCCTGGCCCAGCACCATCCATGTGCATCACAGTGTTATGTTTCTGTACGTGTTCGCTCTCTGGTCCCAGCACTGTGCAACCCTGGGTCTGGAGAGAGGTCAATGTGTGCTTTGCTCTTAGCCCCCTTCCACACTCCTGGTCTCCTGCCGCCTCCTTGGCTTCTCCTCTCCTCATCTACCTGCCCAGTGCTGTTCCTCAGGTGCAGAGCAGGTGGGAACAGTAAGAGCCAAGAGACCAGGGCTGACGCAAACTTCACAGCTCAGCCAACAGCCTTTATTCAGGAATGGAATCGTGGTTCTGATGGACCCACTCTCCGGGTGGAAAATGAGCCACTGAACAAAGGAGGTGATTTAGTGAGCGTGTCAGTCTGGGCACTCGGGAATTTGGGTCTTTGGGTTGGGAGTCTGTGGCCAGCACCTGGAGAGGTTTTATCTTAGAAGAGATTAGTGCTTCCTAGAGACTATCATTCTAGTTTTGATAAAACACTTTCTGAACCCCGCCTTCGGCCAGCCTCAGGGAAGGATTTATCTTTGGAGAGCTGGAAGCTATCAAAGTATGGCTTTCTTTTTCATTCCCTTACCCAGCCCACATGATCTTGGGGTTTTTCATTTTCCATATCCAATAGAAAGCCCCTCTGGTTTCCTCTTCACTTGCTTCTGTCCATGATCCTGGGAGCTACTGAAGTCCACAAGCCTCTCAGCTCCTCAACTGTTTCATTTTCAATGATTTCCCCCCCCCCCATTCCCCTGGAGTGGCGAGCCCACTCCCACCAGTCTCTTCACTTGAAGATCTTCATTAAGACATCAGTCTCTGAAGACACCTCTGTCTTGTCTTGCTCTGTCCGTGACGTCCATTACATATTTTGAGACCTTTGAGGTCAATGATACCAGCCTTTCTGGAATTCTCTTCCCTATCCAGCACACATTGGTGGTCCTTTGTATTAAAGCACTCTTAAAAGATGAGATCTAACATGCCTTGACCTGTCCAGCAAAAATCCTTCCTTGGATTAATTCAGTTTCTCACTCTGTGCATGCTTGTGTCTTGATTGTTCAAACTAGCAAGAGAAAAATCACAGGAACTATCATATTAACACTACCAGAACTACCATAAGTTCACAGTTTCCACTATCAACTGGGTCCTCAATACTGTCCTTGCAACATCAATTTGCCATAGTAACCATTTCAAACCCATAGCTGAACTTGACTATGAACTCCTTTAGGGCAGGATTCCTGTCTGGCTTTTGTGTAATTGAATTTCCAGTGCCGAAGACAGGCTTAATACATAATAAGCATTCAATAAATATCTGTGTACTGGGTGCAGTGGTGCACACCTGTAATCCCAGCTGTTTGGGAGCTGAGGCAGGGGAATCCAAATTTGAGGCCAATCCCTGCAACTCAATGAGAACCTGTCTCAGAATAAAAAATAAAAAGGGCTAAGTGATAGAGGCCCACTGGGTTCAATCCCCTCCCCCCCAAAAAATCTGTGTACTGACCAAGGTATAGGAATAGAGGCAAATGTTCACCACAGGCCAGGTTCTGTTCTATGTGAGTTGTACGTATTAGCTCATGCAATCCCAACAACTCAAAGAGGTTAGATGGGGCTTTTGCCATTCTCATTTTACACAAAAGGAGAGGCAATTTGGAGAGAGGAAGTCATAAGACCGGAAGCAGCAGAGTGGGTATTCAATCTTCAGAACATATAAATCCTTAGCATTCCAGTGATTTCCGTTTCAGACAAGTTGAGTTTTATGTGCTTGAGGGACATGCAGCTGGGCTTCAGACTGGAGCTTAAGAGAGATGTGAAAATGGAAAGGAAGATGTAGGAAAGGGGCACGTGGTGTAGCTCAGTGGTAGAGCATGTACTGAGCATTCCAGAGGTTCAACCCCCAGTACTAGAAAAAGTACAGGGTTTCTGCCATTGACTCCCAGAGGGCAGATAAACTGACTGATGACTTCAGAAAATGGAACATCTGACCTTTGTTCACACCTGTTTCTTTTGCAGAGTGCCTCCAACAGGTCCCTGTTGGAGTTATGTGGTGGTGTGTGTGTAAGTGTGCACCTGGAAGGCTTTCCTTTCCCCAATTTGTGATGACACCTGTAATTTTTTTTTTTTGTATCTGGGTTTGAACTCAGGGGCACTTAACCCACTGAGCCACATCCTGAGCCCTTTTTTATATTTGGAGACAGGATCTCACTGAGTTTCTTAGTGCCCTGCTAAGTTGCTTGAGATCCTCTTGCCTCAGCCTCTTAAAATGCTGAGATTACAGGAGTGCCCCACCATGCCCAGCTATTATATATTCGAACACACGGGATGATTCATGATGTATTGCTTGGTGACTTTTAAATTGAGTAGGGGGTCCTCCAGGGTTGAAATTCAACATTTCTTTTTCCTTTTGCTAAGTTGCTAAGTGCATTTTTTTTTTTTTGGTGGTGATATTGGGAATTGAACTTAGAGGCACTCTACCATTGAGTTACATTCCTAAGTCTTTTATTTCTTTATCTATTTTACTTTTTAAAATTTTCTTTAAAGTCTATGGACACAATACTTTTATTGGATTTATTTACTCCAGCGCCTCACACGTGCTAGGCAAGCACTCTACTACTGAGCTACAATCCCAGCCCTATCTATTTTATTTTGAGACAGGGTCTCCCTAAATTGCCCAGGCTGACCTTGAATTTGCGATTCCCTGCCTCAGCCTCCCAGGTCGCTGGGATTACAGGCGTGCGCCACCACGCCCAGCTGCTAAATACATTTTTTTGAGAAACTTCCCAGACCATTTCTCAGGTAGAACACTATCATTGCATTGCTTAAGGCCCCTTTCCCCCTTCACCACGGTTTCTGCCATTGACTCCCAGAGGACAGAGAGAGATTGAGAAATGGGAGCATCTGATCACCTCTTAGATCCTCTTAGATCACCTCGAAACCTCCTTGGGAGTTCTCTAGCATAAGATTATTATCATCTGCACTTGAAAGAAAAAGAAATAGCTTCCTATTTGGCAGTGTGTTGAGTGTTTCTGAAGCATCATCCCATTCGATTTTCACAGGATGCTCTAGAGGTGGAACTACTGTTATGGGTGGGCTCCGAGAGGGGAGGTGTGGTAGCCTAGGACATGCAGCAGGTTAAGAGTTGGCATTTGAACCCAGGTCTTTCGGATAATAGAGGCTAAGCTGTCTCATCGCTCATTTACGGACATCTGAGGACTTTTCTCCGTGGAAGTGGGGAGAAAGAATATTTGACAGAGAACCCTAACGTTGATATCTGTTTAAGAATGGTGCGGGCACCCGCATTCTTCGCCAGAAACCCGCGTCAATCTCTGACCCAGGCCTTCTCCCGCCCCGGAGCAGCGGCGCACATGCGCGGGGGCTTCCCGCTTGGCTCCGCCTCCCGGGAGGGCGCTGCTCCACGTTCTCGGCTCTGGGGCTTGCGCACTGCGTCCCCAGCCAGAAGATCCTTCCCGGTCAGGGACTTCCGGTGCGCCGGGGTGCGGTTCCGGGTCGTGGCGCGGCTCAGGGCAACAGGGCTGCTGCTCGGCCGGCCGGCGGCGGCGAGCAGCAGGGGCATGAGGGAGAGCCCGGGAAGCGGCAGCTGAGCGGGCCGGTAGGAGCGCCGGTCCTGAGGATCCCGAGAGTGCAGAGTTCGGGGCAGGGACCGGGAGGCGTGGGGAAGCCGGGCCCTCCCCTCAGGAACGTGCCCCGGGGCCGACCCGGCCCGTAGTGTGGAAGCAGCTTCAGGTAAAGGTTGCCCCAGCCGCCAGCTCCCTTGCTCGCCCGCCAGCCAGCCAGCTCGCCCACGCGCGGGATCTGGCGGCCCACTCACTCCGCCTCTCGGCGCTGCCTGGCGGGCCGTCTGTCAGCCCTTGCTCTGGTGGCCTGGGAGCAACCGTTTCCTGGCCCTTCCCCTAAGTCGAGGCTGCCCTGAGCCTGCCAGCCGGGCGTGTGATTTAGGGGAGAAGCTGGAGGACAGGTAGTGTCAGGGCGGGGGCGTGTGTGCAGTTGGCTCCAGCACTCTGGCCCTCTACTCGGCAACATGTAGGTGCCCTGGTGTTCATACGGTGAAATCCAGTTTTTAAGGCATTGCCTGTGTAGTGCCTGTTTCCTAGTGCCCCTCCTCCCACTTAGAGAATAAGGGACAAACAGTCTGCAGACTTTTTCTCCCTTAAGTGCCGCTCGAACTTGAGTTCACTTTTCTGGTTTGTGGGAGTGGCAAGAAGTGTTTAAGTGTGGAGGAAAGAAAAAAGAATATAGCTTCAACAGCTTAACTTTAACTAGATTCCCAAATTGGCTCTGAAATAGGTAAAAACTTCAATCTGAATGAATGCAAGTTATTTTGGAAGCCATTATAGTATCTGGCATTGTGCAAAACACCATATTATAAACCAAAAGAAGCAAAGTTGAAAACTTTTTTTTTTTTTTTGAATGGTCAAACGGACAGGCACATTGAAGTCGACATTCTTCTTATTTTGACTAGCCCAAAGGGTGGATCCCTCATGTTCTGTGATCCCACACAAGGTGCTTAGTAAATATAGAAAGAGTTCTTGATAGTAAATGTAGAAAGAGTTCTTGATAAATTCGTACTTGTTTTTTTCTTTTCTAGCGTATATACCTGCAGGCTTCCTGGGTCTGTGGGGGACTTTTTCCATTCATCTGTGTGCTCATACTTAACTACTGTGTGTGCCAGGTTGCACTCACGTTCCTCTACACTCCTGATCTGGCTCTTGGCTTTCTTTCCAGTTAGGCCTGAAAAGATCCCCAATATAATCCATTACTGTAGACTCTCAAATCACCTTTGTTTTTTCCGTGTCATTTGTTTTTGGTGGGACATTCTCCCTGCTCTGCCTAGAAGCTTTTCTACTTATTGAGATGCTATCCATGGCCTGGTTGAAGTTGGCCTCCTTCAGTCAATTTAGACAGCCCCAGGTGGAAGTTGTTTCTCATTTAGAATCCCATAATCACTACTTATTCACAGTTATTTCATTTAACAAATATTTACTGAGAAAGTATGGCAGTAGTAGGCAATTTAAAGAAGAGTCAGCTTTGTGCACAGGAAACTCAATTTAGTGAGAAAGGGAAGGAAATTAGTAATTCCAACAGTGATAAATATACAGTATGAAAGTTCCTTTTGTGTTATGGTAGTGTAGGACGTTAACTTCTGTGAGGTGGGATATGGCTAAGGAATGCTCCAGAATGTGAGATAAACTCAGTATCTGTTACATATCGCATATAAGTCCTTCTTGTTTAATCATTTTAACTTCAATTTACAGAATAGGAGGACTCAGGATAAATCACACAGATGCTGTGAGACTGGCAATATTCACACCTAGGTCTGTCTGATGCCTAGACCTGTGCTTTTCCCATTACCTGTCTTCTTTCTCACACCATACCTCTTTGTGCAAGTACCTAATGAAGCAACTGATCAGGAGGAAAATAAGAATGTTTAAATGAATGGTACTGAAAATTCTTTTTTTTTTAAATATTTTTTGTAGTTGTAGTTGTACACGATAACTTTATTTATTTATATGTGGTGCTGAGGATGGAACCCAGGGCCCTGCCCATGCCAGGCGAGCGCTCTACCGCTGAGCCATAACCCCAGCCCCACTGAAAATTCTTTTTATTCCCTTTTATTTTATTTATTTTTATGTGGTGCTGAGGATTGAACCCAGTTCCCTACACATGCTAGGCAAGTGTTTTACCACTGAGCTACAACCCCAGCCCTGAGAATTCTTTAAAGGTAAATAAGACTAATCTTCCCAGGCAAAGAGACCATACCTGGGCCAGTTCAATTTTGAATATGAGCAAGGAAAATAGTTTGTAGAGAATAAGCATGGACTTCTGGTTCCATTCCTGATCTTTTTACTATGTATATGAACTTTGGCAAATTTCTTTTTCTTTTTCTTTTTTTTTATTGGTTGTTCAAAACATTACAAAGCTCTTGACATATCATATTTCATACATTTTGGCAAATTTCTTTAAGTATCATTTTCCTCATCCAGGGGTTGAAATAGAGGACAATATTGACCTCAAGAAACACTGTGAATATTTAATAAGCTAGTTCAGATAAAGGGCCTATCACAGTTTGAACATTCCTCATCCAAAATCCAAAATGCTCCAAAATCTGAAACTTTTAAAGCTGCAGTTTTGGAGTATTTCAGATTTTGGACTTTTGAATTAACAATGCTCATTCATGAAGTCTATACAGATGAGCTGCAGTTTTGGAGCATTTCAGATTTTGGACTTTTGAATTAGCAATGTGCACCCATGAAGTTTATACAGATATACCAATATCTTGAAAAAATCTACACTCTGAAACGCTTCTGATCTCAAACATTTGAGTAAGGGATTCTCAGCTCATATATGTTACCTCCAAAATAACAGCTGTAAGATGCAAAGATATAATGCATGTGATGTGATTTTATAGTGGTGAATGAGTTTCTAGCTGAGTAAAGCAAGCTGTTACTTCTTTTTGCAGGCTGGAGATCAAATTGGGGTCAGGGTCAGTGAGGGCTAGATTGCCAGGCAATATAGGTAAATTCCAGTCTCTACTCATAAGTTTTCCAGTTAATAAATACTTTGAGGATTTATGATTGATTCAACAGCTCCAGGCAAAATATTAGACTCTGGAGATATAAAGTGAAATAAAACTGGTCCCTACCCTGAGATTGTTGACATTCCTTTGGGGAAGACATGTACGCAGGTGAACTAGTAAAGTACTATAGATAATAAGGTAGAGTTCCTGTGGGGTACTGTGGAACCTGGAGAAAGAAACACTGATAACGAGTTAGCTAACAAGTACTTACTGTGTCTTGGCATTGTGTTAAATACTTTATCTCATTTATTCCTACTTGGAAAGGAATTTTTAGTATACTAGAGAAACTAGGGCACAAAGAGGTTAACTTCCTTGAGGGGTAGGGATGTGGCTTAGTGGTAGAGTGTGGGTTAGACATATATAAGGCTCTAAGTTTGATCCCCTGTACCAGAAAGCCAAAGAACAAAACCCTTGTTTATACAGCTGGTGGTACTGAGCTAGAGGCCTTGCTTTCTGTATTATGGACTGTCTCTTCTCTTCTTTTTTTTTTTTTTTTTTTTTAAAGTGATTTTTTTTTTTTTTTAGAGAGAGGAGAGAGAGAGAGAGAGAGAGAGAGAATTTTTTAATATTTATTTCTTTTAGTTCTCGGCGGACACAACATCTTTGTTGGTATGTGGTGCTGAGGATCGAACCCGGGCCGCACGCATGCCAGGCGAGCGCGCTACCGCTTGAGCCATATCCCCAGCCCTGGACTGTCTCTTCTATGGGACTGCACTATGTTGCTCTTTGTGATGTGGAGGGATATCCTCTGGAGAGGTCTCAGAGGAGCCAGCCCTTGAGCCCTAGCTTTAGTGAGCCAGTTGCTGCTTGGCAGTAGGTCCAATGAGGAGTGGAAGTGGCCTTGACACTGAATAAATTCATCTAATATGTCACTTCAAATATATTTCTTTCTTTTTGGTGGTAAAGGTGGGGGGCTTCTTGCCAATTTGAAAAGTTGTAGTTCAGTGGATTTGTATGATTCATGCTGAGAGTTTGCTGGAAATCTGTTATTCTGATATATAAGCTTTATTGTTAAGTATACAGCAAGAGATATCAGATTACCATACGACAAGGAATTCTGTCACATTTTTCCCAGTTGGAAATACCCCAACATCATGTTTTCTGTGAAGTTTGAAGTTTTTGAGAAGTTTTGATTCAGAAGTTAACACATTTCAGCTTGTGTGGAGTTTATAATGATTGGGCCTGATATTATCTTTCTGTTGCTATAATAAAATAACCTGGGGGAAAAAACTTAGAGGTGGAAAGATACATTTTGGCTCTTGATTTCAGAGGTTTCAGTCTCTCAGCTGGCTCCATTGTTTCTGGGTCTGTGGTAAGGCAGCACATCTTGGCGGAAAGGTGCAATGGAGTGAAGCTGCTCATCCCATGGTAGCCAGGAAGCAGAAAAGGAGAGAAAAGAAGGGGCCTGGGACAAGAGACAGTCAAGGGAATGCCATGTAGGACCCACTCCCTTCAACTATGTACCACTTCCTACAGTTTCCACTACTTCCCAGATAGTTCATTCATCTATGAATCCATCAGTAGATTAATCCATTAATGAGGTTTTAGCCCTCATGATCCTATCACTTCCCAAAAGCTCCACCTCTGAACATTGCTGCACTCAACATGTGAGCCCCTGGGGACATTTCAGATCTAAACTACTCAGGCGTTTGTATTTCAGGCATTATTGAATGTTTTTTTTATGCCTTATTTCCTTTAATATTCATAATTCTGTGAGGTAGGTGATATTATCCCCATTTAACATGAGTAGCTTAGGGCTTAGGGACTGTTACCCAGAAGTCACACCCAAGTGTGTTGATAAGAGAAATAACTGGCCAAAAAGTAAACAAGTGTTTATTAACTTAAGTTTCTTTTGAATATCTTCTCTGGAGTCTCCGAAGTCCTGTATCCATTATGGATTATAATGAGTAGGGTGGGACTTGGTGAACTGGAGAGCATATACCCAGCTGAGAGGTATCCAAGTGTGGTGGTGTGCATTGTCCCAAGTATTTGGAAAGATGAGGGAGGAACTCCATTGGCTTATTGCCATGTGAATAAGTAGGCCCAGTTTCCTAGGTTTTCTGATTTTTTTTTTTGAAAGATGCTAGAAATCTGGATTTTATATTTTATATTTTGGGGGTACTAGGGATTGAACCCAGAGGAACTTAAC